ACAAAAACCCAAACAAAAACCCCACATGCACACACAGACGCACACACAAACTCTCTCTCTCTCTCTCTCTCTCTCTCACACACACACACACACGCGCGCGCGCGCACACACACAAACGCCTTATCTCTCTCACTTGTCTTGGGAATTCGTTCAAGCAAACCCAAGAAGAACATGATGAAAACTCGTGGAAGTCAAGGCACCCAAACCTGCTTGACCAGAAGATCGAAGAACTTCAGAAAGTCACGAAGATTTGGGAACAAGTGTAAAATAGCTTCTTTTATCTCGAGAAGTTAGCTTTCACAGAGCGTAAGTTCTGCTAATTCATCATATACATGTACATGTATGCGAGTACACCATGCAGTATGGCATGAGGCCCTGTTTGTATTGCATCTGGGTTCGGCCCTTTGAAAAGAGTTGTTCATTTGCGCTGCTGCTACTTTATGATGGGGCGGCAGACACGGCATGTACGCACGGACCACGTCGTGCGAGCGCCAGGAAGCAGAATGCTCATAATACTAACATTACACAACGCGGTCAAGCAGAAATCGTTCAACAATTCCCCAGATTTGTCTCACCCTAGGACATTCCAAACCAGGGGTTACTAGTAGTACAACATTCTAAAGGCTAAAGCAGATCGACTGTTTATTGAGTGTAAGACTCTGCCAATGCCTTGCCATTTAGGAAAATGACGTATGACGGGAGTCGCACGCTGAGCAGTCGAGATTCTGTTGTAGGATATAAAATCAAGACAACCTTCACACGTCGAAGGACAGAGCACGTGCACTGTCCATCCAGAGCGTACTGATGTTACTGTGGACTATGACAATGGACAAAAGAAATTCTTGACCCCCCCCCCTCCCGTCTCTCACATCAAATCCACACACAAGTGTTCTAGTTTTCCTGCTCTAATTTTGTCAAGACGAACAGCAAATTCAAAAGTCTCCAAAGCTGTACCGGTAATCAACAGTTCAGAAGAGTATAACTAGAAGCGGAGGAAAAGCAAACAATTTATTTCACGAACATATGAAGAAAAAAACACAACATAAACATCCAATGTAAATGTAAGTATGTTGAGAAATGGAATTCTATTATCCAGTTACTTCACCGGAGCAGTATGAAATATCACAAACAATATTTTAAGGGAGTGCTTATTTAGGCCACATATGGCCTAAATAAGGTAAGGGAGGGGGGTTTAGCTTATTTAGGCCACAGGTGTGGCCTAAATAAGGTAAGGGAGGGGGGTTTAGCTTATTTAGGCCACAGGTGTGGCCTAAATAAGGTAAGGGAGGGGGGTTTAGCTTATTTAGGCCATATGTGGCCTAAATAAGGTCACCCATATTTTAAAGACGATATGGATGGACAAAAGGTGACTTATGTCGAAATAATATACTGTGTTTCAAGACTAGTATTTTTATAATTAAATAAGCAGAGATTACCATAGTGTCTAAAGCAAGCCCCGAACAATAAAAAGTTAAAAACATCTTTGATCTGTCATCTACTTTTGCAGCAACAGCTCGAGGATGCAATATGATGCTAATATAGAAGGAATGAAGGACTCAAATTCTGATACCGATAGTACATGTCATGAGAGAACCCAGTGAAAAGAAAAAGAGCACAGCACAATAAAACTTAGACCTAAAAGCAAAATTCAGGAAAGTTTTACACTTCGAAAGACATTTATTTGCTTCACCATAATTAAAAGTGTCTCTACATGAGAAACTTCATCGCTTTCAATTCTAGAGTCTGGTTATTTATTCTTATTGTGCACCCCATCCACCACAACACCGGTTTTCTAGGAGACTTTTAGACTTCTCACTAGCCCCGAAGTGAATTTCAGATAACACGAACAGCAGCAAGCAAAACTATGTGTCTATTCTATCAAGGCACTCTCAAACACTGCAAACTATGATACTTTTAATTTGTAGTAAGTACATGTACATGCAAATGAATATAATCATCAAAACACTATGTTTAAAAACTATTCCAAGGTAACGCCAAAATCATGGCACAAAAAAACCTTTCAAGTGTGTCAAAATTTGCATAATATATATGCATATATATTCTGATTCAGGACACTTTTCAGAGTAATTTCAAGCCACAATTTTTGACAATTCAAAAGTTATGACCATTTGAATGATGTAGGATAGGGTAAAGATACATCTGAGAAAATGGCATTTTAAGTCAAGATATTTATCTATCTGCTTATATTTATGCTACATAAAGTAGCATTCCAAGTGTGCATAATGCAAAACAGGGGCCATTTGTTATTGTTTGTTTGTTTTTGTAAAGTGTTTTACGGCGCTCGCAACTGCATAAGGTCATATGAGCGTGCGGGACACACCTAATATTTTCAGTTGGTAGGAAATTTTAAATTTTGCCCGGGTGGTGGCCGAAGCCTACTCTTATCAATTTTAGACCACCAAGAGATCTTTAATGTGCGCAACTTGCACACGGGCCCTCCGAGATTTTTCGCCCTTGTCCGAGAAGGCTAGGTGTAGATCTTTCTTACCAGATCAGGGGCGAGGCAGAAAGACAGCAGTAAGGAGGAGCCAAGGAGTAAAAGTAGAAAGGCTGCAGAAAGAGTAAGGAGCCCAGAGGAGGGGGCAAAGGAGATGAGGGAGTGGGGGCAGAAAGTGGAAATGAAAGCAGACAACAGAACATTGCTAGAGAGCAGGAAAGGAGGTGAAAGGAGACAATTTTAGAGAAGAAAATTTGTTGGTCACTACCCGGATTCGAACCCGGGACCTTAGAATGAGAGGCCAACACCTTAACCTCTAGGCCACGAGAGCCCCCGGCCATTTGTTAGATTTTATAGGGTCAAGGAAAAATGCAATAAAGATGTTACTACACTGATTTTGCCTGTGTTTTTAATTGGAAACAAAAAAAAAACCCAACAAAAAACAAAACTTTTAACTTTCTAGCATAACCCGGATTTCTCAAAGATTAGGCCAATAGGCCTAAATTGCACATATATCTCGGAAACATCTCTAGAGAGAAGCGACAGGTTTTCTTGTGCCACCACACATATTATGAGCACATACACTACTGGGCAAACAAACATGAGGGGAACTTAAATTGTTAATTACAAACGCCAGAAGACAAACTCGACCTCAAGTGAAATGAATTGTACATGCACATGTAGTTTACTGGCCAATAAACTGTAGTCCTGGCTTTGTTACAGTACTGCTTGAACTACATTCATGTAATATTAAAATTCTGTTTTTATTATCATGCTGCAAATAATTAATCATTGGGCAGTATTACAATTCAACTTTATCAATTTAAAAAAGACGGGAATTCATATCTTTTCAACACCCCCAAAACCACATTACTCATGAAAATACATTTAAAAAACAATAATAATGCCGAATAAGTTAAATATAATATCTTACCACTCAAAACCCTACACTCTGAGATCTGTTCTCTTCATAATGCCTCAATACAAAAGAGTATCTAGAATTTGTTTTAAGTGTCAGAGAAAAAGTAATAATAAATAAGGCCTATATGGCATAATATGTATCTAGTAAAAATTCATTACCATGAATTTGGATCCATGGATACCCTTCTACACATGAGCATAGAGATCTATCTCAACAGTTTGTTTGAAGTAGTGGATTATGGGATGCTCACAAGCTATTAGCTGAGTAACACATTCTATCAATAATAGACCTAAAGGCCAATTATAATTCATAACAAAACCAGTGGCATAACAAGATAAGGCGTCCAGAGGTAAGAACTGTGGTGCCTTTTTTTTCATGGGTGAATATAGGAAAATAAATATTGGAAATGGTATAAATAAATGAGAATTACATGCTCATCCATCTCGAAAGTATCAAAATAAACACTGATATGTGTAAAAGAATTACGATATACTTACAGCTTTGATTATATGTGAGACAATGGTGACAACTTCAAATCATCACATGGTATGAACAGACTGAAATAAGACGCAACACCTTGTATATGATAAGTTAAGGGGGTAGTCTAGTCAAGTTATGGGCAATTAGGTGAGGATAAGAAGGCTGAATTATGAAGGTCACTCTTATGGCTACCTTGTAAGACAACAACTTAGACACATGAGTACCCGACAACCACAAGTAAACCTGCTGAGGCTGTGCAATGCTATAAGCTAAGACTAAGACTCTGTCTTTGTAAGGCTGCACCCTGATGGAACAAAGGAAAATTGGCACTTGTCCTTTTGACAGTCTACCATACCGCAATGATGCGTTCACCACAAGTCCCGTCAAACTGACCACAGTCTACCTGACCATATACTACAATAATGTCTTCTATCATAAGGTCTGCACGTGGTAATTTTATACTATCACTCCCATATCCTAATGTGCTACTTTCAAGAAATCGCCAAGGCCACCCCCCCCCCCCCCCCCCGACAAACTACAACAACTATCAAAACATTTTTCATACGCCCAATGGCAAATGATAGTCCCAAGCCTGTATAAACACAGAAGGAAAATGTTTAACATTAAGAATTGTAGTAGACTCATAGAAAGGCAAGTGGAACAAAAACATCACAGTAAACCATCAAATAGACCTTCAACAGTAAATTTGAGGGGAGACTTGAAAAGAAATGTTTAACACATTGTACTGTATGAAGTCCATTTGTTGATACCCCTCTTAAGACAGTACATGTATAATGTAAACAAAGAAAAGATTTGGAGGATTTAGATTATTTAAGTAAGAGTTTTATAGCACTTGCAATACAATTAGTTCATGTAAGTGATGAAGACTATAGGTTTTACAAGAGAGTAACACACATAGAAAAGATGAAGAGATGAGGACAATAAATATTTGATAGGAAATAAAGAGCAAACCACTCACGATCTAGAGGCTGGAGGGCAGCAAATGATGAGAAGGGAAAGAAGTTGTGGTTCATAGCAAGTTAACTTGATAACAGCAACATTTCTAAACAAACAACAGATAAGGATAAAAGAAAGACCGGTACTAAAAGTTTTCAAAAAGGAAATAAAACGCAGACTACATCACAGTAGGAAATAAAGCATCAAGTTAAAACATATCATATACACTACTTTTAACAATGTAAATATCATAATCTGATATCTCACCGTACAAAAACATTTTTAAAAAATCAGTCAAAATCATGTCCTAAAATCATAGAATTAATATGCACAATATTAACAATGGAATTCATTTCTGACACTAATAAGTTATAGTGGAGACTAGCCATTTGGCAAAAAGGCTTTTAAAGCCATACAATGAGTAAGGTCACTGCACTGAGACAGTCTGCTCACTTGTACTTCAACGAAAGTCCAACCATTTGTCAAAATGTGGTTCTTAACGGGGCAAGGAAAGGCCTGAACTTGAACTTGAATACAGCGGGAGAGATCGAGCGAGCTCTAGCTGGGGGAAGGGGGTTTGGGTTGGGGGCTGTAGGTGGGCTCCAAACAGGCAGTCAGTGGAGGGGCGTTGTGATTGGCCAGTCCAGTGATGAGTGAGGTGGGGCAGGCAGCAGAGAGAGATGGTGCGGAGAGACACGTTACATGAACCTCTCCAAAAGTGATGGGCCATTGCCCTAGGCCTAGGCTAGGCCAAAAAGACAGTAAAAGAAGAGGAGAACATGCAGTCTGTGATTTTTCGGTAATTCTCCTTTGTATTCCTATGGCGGGAACTTGTCTACAGTGGGGTATGTTCTTTTGCATCACACTATATACAGGACAAGTTTGTAACCAACTGCAAAGCAGTGGCCTTCTCTATCAATTAAAATAATTTAAAAAACCCACAATACAAGGATTGAAATCTAGAGCGAACAACAATATTTCAGTCAGTGGAAAGTACTGCAATTACTAAAGGTCCATTTTAGGGGTCCCTCTCCAATTATACAACCAACATTTTGACAGATGATGAGACAAATGTGAAGCCAACACAGGATCCTCGTTATCTAAATGTGTTAAGAAATATCAACAGCGCAAAAGCAAAATAAAGAGGTACTAAACTTTGAAAAGAAAGCAAAACATGTAAATGCATGAAAAATATTGTAAGAACTTACACACAGCATAACTTCACTTGCAATTCTAATAATTCTTACTCCATTTCAAAGCTTCATTTTACATTTCAAGATCTCTTTAAATTTCTCTTTAGTGAGAAATTTATCAAGTTCTTATACATGTCTCACACATGCCTTAAATCTAAGGAAAAGCGAATTAAAAGTTTCACAACCTTGCAGCGGAGAAGCTAAAAGAGAAATTATCTCAATCTTTTACAAACAAACACATAAAAATGTGAGGCATCGTGGCGAAATCAGGCGCTCGTCAAAATAACAAAATTGGAGAAACTGGCATTTTCCTACTAGTACTAGTGTTGCAATTTTAATCAAATTTTTGGTTTTTCGTTCAATCCTTTCATGTCCAAATAAAAACACATTTCTATGTGAATTATACACGTATTTAAAAACGTTGATTAAAAGCTCAAAATATGTATTTTTTTTCAGTTTTTCAAGGACTCGTTCGCTACTGAAGTTACCAAACTTTGGCGGCCATTTTCTCTCTATTTTTACCACTGAAACCAAATGAACTTACCTCTTTCAGTCACAAATATCTTCACTTCTGCTCAAGATAGATGGGTATTTTTTTCATCAAAAGCAAGATAAATAAATAAGCTTTAAGATGATACCAATAACTCCACATGCACAAAAAATAGACGAGCGCCTGATTCCACTGCGTCGTGACACAGATATACCTATAGAGAGAAAAACAGAAACACAAGCTCAGCTTGTACAACAGTGCAGCTTTGTGATAAAAATGTTATTTCATACTGGTGTTGGTAGTGTAATGCTTAGGCTCTTAACCTTGCACTTACATAAACAAAGAACTTGCCAACTTGAAGAAGGTGCTTTTATCAAATATCTTCATCTTTTTGCTGAAATGTATGCCGCACATCCCAGGTTGGTATTGGCAGGTAGGGCTGAAGTAACCAGCTTCCAAAATTACTTAAATCACATCAAAGGAGGTGTTCACAATGTGTACTTTCAGAACATATCACGTACACGACTGATATTAAATGGAAAACACCCACTCAGCAGTCCCATCTTGATGTAAGCTTGACATGTTCAGACATTATATGAATTATATGAAGTAGCATCTGCCAGCATTTAACGTTAAGTTGTACAATGAAACTGAGATACAACAAACTTCAACTCAAAAATAACTCGGACTCAACAAAAGGAGAAAGATTCCCCATTTTAGTAATTAATTAAAAGAAATTTTTAAAAACTCAAGACTGAACAAAGATGCCTGTAGAATGAACAGCCCATGCTGAAGTGGCTCTATGCATTTTCTTCCACAACTAACCTTGTCTACTCTATTCAAAGGGAATATGGATCATCATGCTCTGTGGGTCATTACAAACTTTTGTTGCATATCTGTGTGTGTGTGCGTGTGTGTGTGTGCGCGCGCGTGCCTGCGTGTGTGTGTGTGTGTAAATGTACATGGTGAAACATAAAACGAATGTACCAGGATCTGGACAATAAAAAGTCATGATACACTTTACAGCCATCTTGCGCCACCAATTGGAAGCCTTCTTTTACGCCAACATATGTTGATACATTTGTATCGTGTGACAGAGGAGCCTAAGTATGCGTTTGTGTGTGAGGGAGGCAGCCTGGGCTTGGCATGGATCGTCAAAGGAGGTGCAGTTATAAATTTTTTGCCCAACTACTGAACAGTTGCAGGTATAGATTTACATATTGAGCTGTGGGCAAATCAGTTGAATCAAACAGCTGGTGGATCTAGTCAAAACATTGTATACTATGGCATTAAAGTAAATTAATTAACCTAGTTTTCAAGATTAGTCTAGAACACATTCAATATAATGTTCAAGAGATAGAAATTACTCTTAGTTGGAACCTAATAGCTCTGTATATATGTAGTGAGGCATTGTTGTGAAATCAGGCGCTCGTTAAAATAATTAGAGAAAAGAAAACGGCATTTTTTCATCAGTGAGTCAAATTTTTCTTTACAAAATTACAATTTTCTTTTTTTTGGCTCAACACTTTCTATGAGTATGACCTATTTAAAACACATCTTAATGTGGATTTTACTGAAAAGCATTGGTTAAAGGCACAAAAACTAAATTTTTATTTCCAAAGGACTCTCAATCTATGGAAGTTACCAAACTTTGGTGGCCATTATCTCCATAGTTTTACACCTGAAACTAGGCAACCCTTATCTCCTTCAATAGCAACTATCTTGGCTTCTACGAGGGAGATCGGTATTTTTTTCATTGAAATCAAGAAAAACGAACAACCTTTAAGATGATACCAGGAACTCTATATGCCCCAAAATTGACGAGCGCCTGATTCCACCCCGTTGTAACACTAACACACATACATGAAGTCAAAAAAAGGGAGGAAAAAATAGGGGATTTTGTGGTGAATACGATGGTGCAACAGGCACAACAAGCTCTCTGTCAAGAACAGCCGAAGACCAAGAAACACGTAAACTGAAGAGATAATGAACACCTGTACTGGGAAAATATTGATACAGCACTTGTAAATTATGGTGTTGTTCACAAAGAAATACAAAACATGAACCTTCCGCAAACCTGACTGTACTGTCTAGATCTTGGAATTGTGCCAAAAGAAGTAACTGACCATTCAAAGAAAGCACTTTGGAGCACCACTGGGTTTTCCCTTTATGCTCACACTGTGACTCGAACAGATGTACCTATCATTATCGAAAAAAAAAAAGCTCATGTGAGTTTAACCCAACTTAGTTACTTCAACTAATGTGAAGGCTGGAACCGATGACTTTGTTATATATATTCAAGTTTCACAGTTTGAAATAACATTTCCACAAAAGGGTAACAAATCACACCAAAACAAAATAATTCTTAAAAGTACCTTCAAACCATTAAAAAAAAAGTTTCTAGATTCACTGTGTAGACTAGATCTATCCCAACTTTTTCAAAAACTTGAACTCATAACAATGAAGAACTTGCCTGGGGCAGTGGTCCTTACTTTCTTGGAAACGTATCTACATTCAAGCCTTTTTTAAACACATATTTTGAAGTTCAATTACAAAAATAGAGATATAATTTATTATTTGAAAATGAAAGACTAGAGGCCCTGAATATAATCATCACATCATTTCCCAACAATGGAAGATTTTTTTTAAAAAGCAGTAACCAGAAACTATCTCTGGTAAGTGGTTTAAAAAAATGCACATGGGAAGTCCCTTTCTTCACCACTTCACATCTGGGAACCAGATTTGATTTTTAAATCGTAGCAGTTCACAAAATGGCAGTGATGAGGTACACTTTCTAAATAAAGTACAACCTTTTCATAATTAGCCTACCTATTTAGAAAAAAAAAGAGATATTAAAAATTATCTACAGCATGCCCTGAAGCAGAGCCATTAGTAGCTATCACTACATATGTCATATCATTAGGAAAGGAAAAGAGACATCAAAAACACAGTCACTTTTTATATTATAATTTGTTGCATACAATTTTAACTTTTATACAGGTGGGTTTTTTTTTGCTTTTTGTAATCCATTACCAATTTAAACAAAACTGATTCTTCATTTTCAAAGTGTGAATAGTTTGACCAAGAGGAAGCAAAAATTTAACCTGCCAAAATATTCATTAGCTTCAACAGAACAGAATTTTCATTGTGAAATTTATACATCTTATATATCTTTTACAGCGATATTCCAAAAGGCCGTAAATGTAAGGGCAAGGACAAAATGGAAATCATCTTGCTTGAGTACATTGACACAATATGGTTAGCTAGTTTGACTTCCTGTATTAAAGCATGATACAAAAATGGATAGACCTAAGCTAAATCAAAATCTTTTTGTCCGTAAAAGTTTGAGATTGTTGGGCACTGTGACTGTTTGCAATGTCAGTGATATAGTTTCGCATTATTTGAGCATAGAATAAGACAACATTAATCTGTCACTGAAACAACACACATTTCATCTTAAATCCGCAAAAACGCAATAAATATTTTGTGGGTCAAGCTGCCTTAGTCAAAATCTCATGGAGTCGTCAAACTGAAGACCAAAATAAACTTGAGACCTACACAAGTTGATGCACAGTGTGGCTCAAGGTGCTAACATCAAAATTTGAATGCCAACAAAACTCAATTCAAACACATTTGGCCGCTCAGGTGACTGTCGGTGTCATCTCCAATCTAATATTTCCAGACTCTGCATCATTCTCTTCCTCCAGCAAGGCTTCCTCCACATTCCGATCTCTGTCACTGTCATTAACACTTCTGGCAAGCGACGAGTTTGCTTTGGCAGTCTCCCTCTTGTTTAACAACATGGGCCCCAGAACTGCGATAAGGGCGGCGCCAAGCGGGGCCGTGAGGAGGATGGAGAGCACGGCCAGATTGAGAATCTGAAGCAAGGAATAAACAGATCAAAGGGTTCAGTGACAATTTACAGACACATGAAAAGCATTACCACTGTGGGAGTGAGATTCATAGATTAGTAGGTAAAATAAAAATCAAGGAACTGAATGCAAAACAACTTTCCTTTGTGATATATATATATATGCAAGAACATCTGAGAATATGAAAAGAAGCGCACACATGAATGCACATACACACACAAGATGCAAATAAAAAGTATGAACACAAATACATTTCATTTTAATTCAATCATTCCAGCCAAATTATATTCAAAGCTCCGCAGACAAACCAAGCAAGGATGTTTTTTATCAAGCTTCCTTTTTAATAGAACATATATACACTTGTTTAAAGATCTCTGACTAAAAAAATTTGGAAGGTGACTCAATATAAAATACCTACATTGTATCATATATTCTTATATACACCCACAACAATACAGTGAGATAAGCAACAACACTTTTCATTTGTTAAACAAACATCTTTATTCGGTTATAAAAACCTTGACAGAGACAAAATTTTCGTTACAAATTACACAAAAACAAAAGTGTACAAGAGCTTTGATTCTTTGATTACGGCTAAAACAACTCTTATGATAGTAGGATTAAAAAGAAAATGATGTCATGATAACTTGACTAGTAGGCCTACTTTGATTTTCAAAACTGGACAGGGCGAATTCGTTGAGCAGACAAAATTGTTGGAGGTATTCTTGTACAAACAAAATAATTCTGAGCCGTTTTTCTGTTCAGTATGCACTTATCGCTGCACATTGCATAAATATATATATATATATATACGGAAACCCTGAAATACATGTCAATGTCAAAGAGGGTAAAAAGAGTCAAAATACATACAAGCTCAAGTAAGAAAAAAAAGAGTAATCCTATACAAAAACAATTGCTTGTGCATTAAACAGCACCATGAACTCGACTAGATAAATAATATAGATTTTGTTAATTTTGCTCATTGGAAGACAATAACAAGTTTAAGTTTTTATCTCTTTGATCTTTCCTCTTGATAATCATTTCATTTTTAAAGAATTAGACATAAATCTATTAATTACCCTTGCAAGAGCATCAGAACAAAAACATAACAATGTTTAAGATACTATTATGAACACGTATGAAAAATGTTCATATGTGTTCACTTAATCAGTGGACTGAGAAAATAAACCCGTAAACATGTGATATTCATCTTAACCTGACCAAACATTAAAGAAACAGGATGATAAGCAACATCCACGAGTCCAGTCAAATAAAATAACTAAGTACCCTGTATCAATACCACACAAATTTATAATATTTTTCTTACACTAAACCCTGAAAGTAAGACAAAACCGTCATAAACACATATCAGAATAAAAAGAAATAATAAGCAGAACAAATTAAAATGATCAGACTGAAGAATTTCCACACCCTTATTCAGCTTCACCATGAAACACTGTTGAACAGGAAAGGAAGTCAATCAGAAGAAGTCAGTTTAATTATTTTCTTCTCCCAGACCTTTTTCAATAAGTGAAATTCAAGCATTGTCAAAGAATATGAATACATTGCTTTCAGAAAACTTGGTACTTGGTTCTCAGGTCTGCTTATCTGATGCAGAATGATTACTTTTTGGGGGCACGATTTCTACGCCATTCTTGAGAACATTAACTAGACTGTCGACACAAAAAATAGCATTGACATCACATTCATTACGGAAAATATAACAACCAAAAGTCTCGAAAAACATCCCAGATTTCCGAAATTCAGGAAATTCGGGATTTCTATCACTATAAAAGAAACAAAAATCTGGAAGAGAATTCAATCTACAAAAAATTCCACAAATTTCCAAAGCGATGGCACCTCTTGCATCAAATGACAGGCAACCCCAAACTTTGTTCTTGTGCTCAAACTGTAGCTTCTCTCTTATCCAAAAGCGAATCTGAATCAGCCGGCTCTCCACCGTTCCGTCGCCTGCTTGCTGACTCAAGGTCACCATTACCATCTGGCTTCGCCGCTCGTCCTACTCTGTCATCCTCTGCAGCTTTGACCTCTAGGTTGAAGCGTGGGGTGTGTTTCAGTAGGCGTGGCCCGGCCAATGCGATGCCGACTGCTCCGATAGGAGCGGTGATCAAAATAACCAGCACAGCCATCATCAGCACCTAGACAGTCGGCAGTAAACCACAGGTAAAGGAGAAGGTAATTTACAGGTCAGGTTATATGTCTCTTGTGCAAAGGAGATTCCATCACCAGGCATTACAGGCCTTTATTAACAAGGGGCATCCATCACCATAATATATATATATATATATACACACAACAGCACAATAGATTTGCCCATTGATGTCCTGTTAGCAACATTCCATTCAGAGAAAGTCATATTTATTTGCTGCTGTCTTCATATGAGTCACGACAATTGTGGAATCAGGCTCTCGTCAATTCTTGGGTATATGGAGTTATTGGTATTATCTTAAAACATGTTCAACTATCTGACCTTTCCGGAAAAATATTACAGAAACAACTTGATAACTTCAAAAAGCGAGGGTGCATCTAAAATATATAACGAATTTTACAAAGTACTGTTAGAGAAAGATGGATACTTTTCTTGACCGAAGAAATCTGAAATGTGCTTTACTTTATGTATTATAATGAAACACACAGAAGATGAGCTGCTGATTCCTTTTCATCATCATTGACAAAGCGGAAATTTTCTATTTACACTGGTAAAGATATTATGATGACGCAATACAAGTGATGCAGAGTGTAAATCATAGATTCAAAACCAAAATACTGGCTTGGCACAAGGCAAACGTCAATGACCAGTGTAAAAGAAAAGACAGCTTTTGTGGACAGGAATTGTCCAGGGAAATAAAATACGGTAGTTAAAAATGTAAGATTTAAATGCCTTAAATTCTACTTTCATAAGATGAATACATGTCAACCACTTTTTGTAGAGCAAATTACTCAATATACATTAACGAAAAAAACAACCCACAACCAAACAAATCAAGACACAACATTTTTTTTTTTTAGTCAATGAATTATGCATAAAAATCCATATTATCTGACTATCTGGCTACATCAGTTACCAACTAAAGTGAGGTATAGGGATCCAAAGAATTAACACATTCTTCAAAAGTGGAGCTAGAGTAAAAACAAATCCACCATTTAATCGAGTACCACAAAGAAATAGCTTAAAAATTACAAATTTGCAGATCTTCTCGAAAACGTCATTTATACGCTTGAACGTATAATATACATAACCCTCTCCCTATGGTACACAAATGTCTAACAATTACATTAGCACATAAACAACAAACAAAATTTTCCCTGATGGTTCAAACATTAAAATCATGTAAGCCTACTCCACAACGACACATTATCAAAATGGCTTCTAGCTGAAAGGAGTTGTCTTACTACTTAAGGAGGTCAAGTAGAGGTAGTAAGATTTCCAGGACATACTGGATGGTATGGTTAGAAAATATATTGACCCAACACCCCAATCATCCCACTGTCCTTACATGCAACAAAAATTAAAATATCTTCAACTTCTGTTTGACAATTTAGACAATTTTCAGAAAATAGTACCCCTATTTAATGGTGTGTTTTTTTAGTGAAGAGAAGTGCCGCAACACAATAATGGTCATTCAGAGCAGGTAGAGAGTAAGACTACCTGACAGAAACATGGGAAGGAAAGAAAAAAACAACAGAACCAATCAGTGGCATCTTTCATCCACCCACAGTGTAGTTCTAGTTGCCTGAACAAAGTTGACCTCGCAAGGCAATCTACAAAAAGACCCCGAGGACATTATGAAGAAAAACATAACTCTGCAAATTTGTAGAAGAAAGACTTCTACTTTTACTTTTTAATTTGAATATTGAAGTTGTTCCAGTTAAAGAAAATCATGTCCTTTCAACAGTGATTAAAAGGGCCAAAGATAACAAAAACAATACTCAGAAGTTACAAAAGGCTGTAAAGATGAAGTTCTAAAGTGAGACAGTAAAGTAATTGCCAAAGTCCAAACAAAAAGAATAAGACAATGGAATCAAACAAGAGAACTAGAAGGAGCAGTCCACATCAGAGCTCAATTCAACAAGCAGAGAGGCAAGAATAGGGATACCAATGCCATGCTCCCATTACTTGCATTTCTCTTTATGAGTTTTCAGTGAACATAAGCTCAAAGGGTAGTCCAGACTAAGCAGACAATAAGTCAGGAAAAAAACGTACCTGTTTTCCCAAGGCCTCCAGCTCAACATCACCTTTTGCTTTTGCTGTATCCAAGGCAACAGCACCCACAGCAGCCTGTTGACAACATCAGACATTTCCACTTTACTATTTTTTTGTACGAGTATTACACCCTACTAGACCAACAGGTTATTTCAACAGCAAGACACCGATGAATTTCAGGGTACATTCTTGTTAGAACATACCCCCAGTCGACAGATCAGGATAAAACAAAGCAGGACAAAAGATAATGCAAGTACAAAGAAATGAGGACTTCCGCCCTCCGCACCCCATGCCAGAGAGCTCGTAGTGTATGAATAATAAGTACGGTACCCAACCAGCATGGAAGCTATGCTCCTGCTAATAAGACAGCATACTATTTTTATAGCCCAACCCACTTATGGTAAATATCAAAAAGGCACGCTGGATAAATCATAAATGGAAACAGCAGCAACATTAAATAAAAATGGTGAGAGATAAAAAAAGTTAGGAAAAAAAAGACAATACATAAATACATACATAAAAAAAGGAGGCATGACTACACCTACAACCAACCCCAAAAGTGGAATCAAACTACAAAATAGGCCCTACTTGACGAATTCAGATAAAATGTGATCAACAATCCAGAGGAAACATGAAGAATCGGAATTGAATTAGAACATCATTAAATTAATTCCAAAAGCAAAAAAAGGGAGTGGCTAAAGCCAAAGTTCACGGACCCTAAAACAGAAACTAAAGCACATTATGCAATGTAATCACAGGAAGTTGATGTAGTTATCATTTGCTTTTTAAAATCATATATGAACAGTTAAGTTCCACTGCAGATATTGAATTCTTGAACATATGAACATTCTGAAATGAAAATGAATCAGAATCATTTGTTCACTTTTTGGAACAATTCATTTTCTATCTTCCATCAGTGTATTCCTACTCATGGAACTATGACATTATTTTCTTGAACAAGTTAAAAAAAAGCCAAGCATTATTAAGATGAAAGGTTTTTTTTAAGTTTTAAAGAAAACTGTATCCCCCCCCAATCCCTTTTTGACAAAAATGAGACACTACACATTGAAGTAACATATCAACGAAAGTCTTTAGAGACTATACCCATGTTAGTTACCTGCACTGTAGCTTTAGGCAGCCAGGCAAATGGTATGAAAAACCTTTCCTTCAGGTTAAGGTCGGTGCCAAACACAGCCAGGAAGGACACGACAACACGTAGACTCAGTCCTATAGCTAGAACAGCTATACCCAGACCTGAAACATACATGTTGGCTTATTGACTTTGTACTGCCAGAAGTGTCAGATTCATATAGGTCTACTATGATAAATAAGTCCACTACAATTCTGAGTTTTTCTAAAACATTCAAAATGGTATAACTTGGGGCAACAAAATTTTTTTTAAAGACTGAAAATAATAAGTGCCATTCGTGAAATGCATCTGATCAGTCATGGTGTAAAGTTTGGTGACCGTACCAAAAGCATATTCAAGACTTCTTCAATGAGTTAATACAGTGTAACACATAATGTACTGTCATGGTCATGGTCTCATAAAAAAAAGAGTACAGTTTAAGCCATTACAAACCCTCCAAATTCATGAAATGATTTAATATGACAACAAGCTGAAAAATTTCACCTTCTTTCATCACTGCTGAATAAAAACAACCCCGCATTATTTCCATATATTTTCAAAGGCTAAAACATATTTTTTATATAAACGGAAATTTACCAGTTTTAAACTAAAGTAAAGTATTAAAATTTACTAGAAAAGTATTACCTTTGTACATAGAAACAAAAGAACAAACATACCCACAGTGTCACCATCCAGACTGGATATATCGACCTCAGCACCAATGAGCCCGAAAAGCAAGGGTTGGAAAATCATCCAAAGAACACCCACAACGTCTTCAATAGGATTCTTAGAGATATAAACAAAATATGTACAGTACTTGAAAAGTTGCAAATGAATTGAAAAAATGATAAGGAATAAATACGGACAAAACTGAAAAAATTTGAAATACAAAGTCAAACTCTATAATAAGGAGAGCACAGTAAGCCCAATATCTCATGTAGCCAGGTCTCACTTTTGCTGAAATTCAAAAGATCAATTCCAGCATCATTTTCTTGATCAAATCTGCATATGATGAGATTTAATCAAAAGATTCAGCAAATAAGTTCAAATATTCAAAAAATGAAATCCTACTAAAATTGATTTCAAGGGGACCACAACCCCCTTTAATTCAAAAGTCATTCAGCCTCTCCCCCCCCCCCCCCCCCCCCCCCATCCAAAGTCGATGCATGTCCTCACAACTGCATCTCCATGCTCCTTCAACCCCAGCCTCCGAGGTCACTTAACCACCACCTGCCCCCCCACCCCTCGCATCTGATACCATCATCAGTCTTGTTACCTTCACACCCTCCGCATACTCTTTGCGCCACTTCAGTGCAGCCACAAACGGCAGAGACAGGGCAGCCAGAGGTCCAGCCCCAGACCAGTCCAGAATTTTGCTACCAAATATGGCCATCATACACAAGAGCAAAAGTAAAGTGGATCGGAACAGGATCAGATGTTTCTGAAAAAAAAAAATCAAAAAAAAAAATCAAGCACTGTCTGAGCTGCGTCTTTCAGTTTAAAAATCTACATTTGTTCTTTAACACAAAAACACTTGATTATGATTTTTACAGAATAATTTTTTACAGGCAGTCTTTGACACACAAAATTACCTAGAAATCTCAGTTTCCTAAAACAAACACACATTAACCAAAAAGATATGACTGACAAGCTGGGCCACAGAAATTCTGATTTATAGAACACTGCCAATAGCCAAAGAAAAATATTTCCTGTGAGATGGTTGTTATTAATGCTTCTTGTAGTGAATTCTTCTCAAACTAGTAGTATCTATAGATGAGTATCACAGAAACAGAGAAAATTGCTTAAATTACTATTTCTATATATAACAAATATGAACTGTATTAATCCATTTGTATGTCATAATTACTATTTCTATATATAACAAATATGAACTGTATTAATCCATTTGTATGTCATACACTGAAGAAAAAAAAGAAACTGAATCACATGAGAACTTCATATACACCCTTTTCAAAATAGTGCTCCGTAATGATCAGTTCACAAATATTTGCTTATGAATCATATGTTTGCTTTTGCTGAAACCTGTCACTCTACTAGATACTAAATGACACATTTCAAAGGCATGAACACAAACAAAAAGATATGTCTCTTACACTAGATTTCTGTGGGATGTACCAAATGATATAGCCTCCGACAATGCCATACAGCACACCAACTATAGCTTCAATGGGACCTTTGAATAAGGTCCACACAATGTTTCCTGAAACAAAACAAAAAAACAATGGTTCAAATAAAAATACACAGCATTTAAAAAAATAGTACAACAGTATTCCACTGGCAAAATGAGAATTTCACTATATTTATTGCATTACAACTACTCTAAAAAAGAAAACAAAATCACTAAAACTGTCTATATATTTTGCACCTCCAGATCTGAGTGCACCCCTCAAAATACACTATGCATTATGTTTAACAAACCAAATGGTTGTCTCAGCATGGGATGGTCAAAGCCTGACAGTTGTTTATAAGGAGCACAGGGGCATGGATCCTGTAGGCTCAGGGGGCCACAACTTAAAAGGTTGGGTTATTCTTGTGAATCCAGCAGTGTGTGGACTTCCACAAAGTACAATATAACTATTGAATGAACAGAAGCATTAGCATGTCCAAAAAAATCTTTGAAAAGTACTAGGTTGACTATGAAGGTTCTGTTACAGAATACTATGAGAAGACCATGAACAACACTGAGAGTGACAAGACAACTAGCAAAAAAAAAAAATGCATTTCAATATGTATATATTATTATACTAACATATATTTAAAGGTAGGTTTTCAATACATAAACTTCTAAAAAATGGAACATCCATTTCAAGAGGACCTCATTGAAAAGAAAGCAACTTTACCTGCGCAAATGTCCAGCATATTTGTCATGATAAATTGCTTATTATGAACGATCCTGAAAGTTAGTAGGCCAAATCTTCAACATATAAATGTGTAAGTTATCTTACAACACTGTAAAGGAAATTTACACATATTCTTACCACTTGAGAAAGAAATGCCAAGCAAGACCCCAAAGCCAGTAATGGCAAGCACATCGTCTATGCTAGCAGCAGCAATGACAAGTGTGGGGATACCTTTGTCCACCCCATAGCCTCTCTCTGACAAGCTCAGAAGGGATGGCACAACCACAGCAGGGGACACCGCTGCAATGACAAAACTGCCCAAGAGAAGAAACAAGCGAAATAATATGTTAGAAATGATAATTTAAAACTTCCATTCAAGATGAAATGCTATCATAATTTTTAAATGTACAGTGGAAACCATATATAACAGGCCCGGTAATAACAGGGATCCGGTAATAACAGGGATTTTTTAAAATCCCCATTTTTTTCTACTCTTTGTCTCTATTAAAAGTTATCGGCAATAACAGGGCCTCATCGGAGCCCATCCAGTTATAGCAGGGACAAAGGCTCATTAACAATGTGTAAAAAGAGAGAGAGAGGAGAGAGAGAGAGAGAGAGAGAGAGAGAGAGAGAGAGAGAGAGAGAGAGAGAGAGAGAGAGAGAGAAAGAGAGAGAGAGAGAGAGAGAGAGAGAGAGAGAGACAGACAGACAGACAGACAGACAGACAGACAGACAGACAGACAGACAGACAGACAGACAGACAGACAGACAGAGTAATGCAGTGATGGAGCAAGCCCATGCAAGCCATGCCACTGCATGCACATGCAGCTTGTGAAGCGAGAGAGGACTGCGGTATGCTGCAGACCTTGATCTTGCCCGAAACCTAGCAACACGCACACATAATGTGTCATGCGCAGGCCTGTCGCAAGGCCAAATCTGGCCATGCATAGAGCTCTTTCGCAGTTCAAAGCACACATGCATGCACCACACCACACTGTGACTGTTCACTGACAACAGTACATGTGTAGATCTAAGCTTAACGCACTCTGTGGACGACCGCTCGGCCTAGATCTAAGCCTACTTCTTTCATTATGGCCACCAACGATGTCAAGCGCAAGAGAAAATGCCTTTCAATTGACAAAATATATGAAATAATACAGGCTGTTGACAAAATTTACACCATTATCAAGGATAGAGAGAAGATAGTGGGAGCATACTCCAATGGAAAGTTTGCTCTGGATCGAAAGAAGATGAGACTACCCGATGCAGATGCTGTGGACCAAGCTCTTCTGATGTGGTTTAAGGAGGCAAGGAGAAAGTCGGTGCCAAAACCCCTGTTCGTGGGTACTTGTGGCAAGGGAAACTACCCATGAATAAATACAGCTGGATTAGTCCACAAATGCTTACTTTCCTTGCATTTCTGATTTAACAGGGATTGGATATAACAGGACATTTTCTCAACTCCCACCATACCTGTTATATCAGGTTTCCACTGTAGTCAAAACTCCCAATAAAATTACAAAACCATTTTGAATGTATATATAAAAGTAATAGATTATAGTAACTACAGTCGAACCTGCCCTGACGGCCACCTCTATAAGACGGCCACCTGTACAAACGGCCACTTTCCATTTCCCGTTTTTTCTATATAATTTAACTGTGTAAAACGGGCACCTGTCCAACGCGGCCGCAGCCACCATATTTTAACACACAACTCCTATCACACTGAGCAATAACACCTGTCTTAGACGGCCACGCTTAGTGACTCCATTATGATTTGTCATAAATTGTGCATTGACCCCTGGCGTTGTGGGCGAGCCGTCATAATCTAATCACCTGCTGTTGTTGTTAGGTAGTCCCTCCAACCGATCATGTTGCGTAGGCCCCTCCCACTGTTGACCAATAGAGGTAGATCTACCAATTTCCAGCTGCTGGTGAGGGAATCGTGTGATCCCTCATAACCCATAAGCCCCGCCCAGAACTCATACACAAATCGTAAGTGAGATGAGTGGTCACTGTTTACCCAGTCTGTAACAAAGTAACAATGGCCGTCAACATGAACTTGTGACAGAAGCGTCCCTCGTTCTTCGAGTGGTGGCGACCCATATGTTTGTTTTACCATAGCACTCGGATCCTCCTTGTCTGACACATTTCGTTTTATTGTCATCCTTGCACAAAATGAGCGACAAAATAAAAAATAACAAACAAAATACAAAACCAACAATAATGCGGCTACTTTCGATTGGGAATGGGGTTTGTTTTCTTCATCTTGATCAGTCCTGCCTAAGACGGCCACCTGTCTTATACAGCCACTTTTCTCCTTGACAATGGGTGGCCGTCTTACACAGGTTTGACTGTATTTACAATTCTTTTCATAACTGACGTCAGGCAATCTCAGTCAATGATTTGCTTATTGTAGATTTAATGGTTTCCAAAAATAAAATAGAAGGCAATACCACCGTTTTACTTTCAGTAATTTTACTTATCTCTTGATGGTGGAGAACTATTAAAACAGCATAATGAAATGTTTGAAGATTTCAAAGCGATGCATGCAACTAGCTCTCAGGCCTGAAGAAACTGCTGGAAAAAATATAGATTGACTCAAGGACTGAAGCCTTCCACAACACCATCAATGAAATATGAAAAAAGTCACAACATTCAGTTTCAACTTTTCTAGCACCAAATTGTTTTCTTTGATGTTGCCCAAACAATATTTCAGTTAGGTTTGAGCAAAGAGTAGCACACTGACACAATAACGGCCCATTAGACTAGGCAAGATAGATGAAACTACAGAGGGAAAAAAGAGAACTAGTGCATATCATAGGTGCGCTCTATCCATCTGCACCAATATTTTGAACATGTGTAGCATTCACCCTAGAGCAGCACATAGCACAGGTAAGGTAGCCTGACATGACACTATCATAGAATCATAGACTGGACACACAAAATAGTCTAAAACCAATTCCCAGCAACAAACACTTAAACGGAAACTAACCCAAGCATAAATCCCCAAGACCACGGAAGTCCAAGGATGAGGTGTGACGCGATGCCGTCAACGATGGTCTCAACAAGACACGGGCTGAATGCCAGCCTCACCACCACAAAGGAAAGTTTCTTGAGTGCCTTCGGATCCAGCCCAAGGCCCGCACGAATTAGGATGATGGTTAAAGCAATCTGTCTGGAGAAAGAAAAAGAAGAATGAGTTTATCGGCCAAAATCTTTGTATCTGAAATCCAGCATCGGTCTTTGTAATAGATTGCGTTCATTGATTTCCTTTTTTTCCTTTTAATTTGATTAGAAGAGAGCCGATACCCATCACAAAGGGATTGTAATTGTAATAAATATAAAAGACCAAATTTTTGCATCATTGTGCTGACAAAGCATCCTCATTGTCAGAAACAGTGTAATGAGAAGATAAAATATCCTAGAAAATGTTTTTGTTTCCTCCACAATAAGAAATTTAAATTCATCTTAGGTTTTGTTTCAGAGGATTTATACCTTTGGTTCAAACCTGTGTTTAACAAAAAAAAAACTCAAACCAAATTTTTATTTAGTTCAATCTCTTTCCACAGTTTCAAGCGAAAGGCTCTGTTGAACAATGGAAATTCCGCCCTAGAAGAAATTCGAAGTTATACAAAGTTCTCCGAAAAGTCCAATATCATAATAATGATAGCATCAGGGGCAGTGAGGCCAACCTTAGAAGAGCTTCTTTAACAGCGGGCATGGACAAAAAACTACCTAAATTCAGTCCATCCCATGAGTCGACCTTGCAACTATTAATGAATGTGGTCCGCAGTGAGTTGAGAATTAATAACTACAAATTTTGTCTGTCTTGAAAATTAAAAGTAATAGTTTTCCTGCCACAGCTGGAAACAAAAGATCTAATGTGTCAGTTTTAATCTCTCTTTTGAGAGCTCGGACACTTCAAACTGATGCTACTCAATTTTCTGCTTTTTTTTGGGGGGGGGGGGGGGTAGTGTTTTACGGCGCTCGCAACTGCATAAGGTCATAAGAGCGCGCGGGACACACCTAATATTTTCTGTTGGGAGGAAATTTTGAATTTTGGCCGGGTGGCAACCAAAGCCTACTTTTATCGATTTTAGACCACCAAGAGATCTTTAGCATGCGCAACTTGCAAACAGGCTTTCTGAGGTTTTTCGCCCTTGTCCGAGAAGACTAGGTGTAGATTTTCCTACCAGAAGATCAGGGGTGTTGCAGAAAGACAGCAGTAAGGAGCCAAGGAGTAGCAGTAGAAAGGCTGCAGAAAGTCAGAAGCCTAGAAGGGGAGCAAAGGAGGTGAGGGGGTGGGGGCAGAAAGATGAGACGAAAGCAGACGACAGAACATTTCTAGAGAGCAAGAAAGGAGGAGAAAGGACATAATTTTAGAGCAGAAAATTTTTCCGACATTACCCGGATTTGAACCCAGGACCTTTGAATGAGAGGCTAACACCTTAATCTCTAGACCATGAGAGCCCCTTCTCCTTCTTTGGCTCCTGAAATACTTAAAATTCCTTAATCCCACCTGTGAAGTAAACACACTTGCCAAAGCCTGCTTTACAGGATCAGGAGTCTGGAAAATACCAGTCCAGCTCTATGTCTCTTTACCTCTCATAGTTAATGAACCTAATACCTTTTTTAAGTGGACATAATTTGCTACAAGAGCAAAACTCACATGTAGACACGATGCAGCAAATTACGTCAAAAGGTAAGACATGGGAAACCTGTTTTTCCCTCAGAATTTGCCAACTTTGTACAGATAACATTTTCTTTCATTTGCATAAATGTTACCAGAAACAAAGACTTATTTTAATATGATATTTTTACTTTACCACATACCTGCAACCAGAAGACCAAACAGGATCTATATCTCTGGCCACATTGATATGAGGGGCATTTCCAAGGACTCCTCCCACTAGCAACATTCCTGAAGAAAGACAGGGAACACAACTTCATTGTATTTCCCATTATTTTGGTTTGATTGACCCAGATAGGTAATTGATTAACAACATTAGAAAGTCCACAATAATAAAGTGTCAAAAAAGACGAAGAGGAGGAAAAGGAGATGGAGGGGGAGCAAGAGGAGAAAATGGGGCATTTCCAAGGACTCCTCCTACAAGCAACATTCCTGAAGACAGACAGGGAACACAACTTCATTGCATTTCCCATTATTTTCGTTTGATTGACCCAGATAGGTAACTGATTAACAACATTAGGAGGTCCACAATAATAAAGGGTCAAAAAAAGGGAAGAGGAGGAGGAGGAGGAGGAGGAGGAGGAGAAGGAAGTGGAGCAAGCCGAGGACATGGAGCTGGAGGTGGAGGAGGAAGAAGAACAAGAAGAGGAGAAGAACAAGGAGGAGCTAGAGGGGGTGGAGTACGATGAGTAAGATGGAGAAGAAGGAGAAGAAGTTGGAAGGGGGCAAGAGGAAGTTCACAATATACAGTGCTAAGAAAAGTGGGACAGCGGGCAAAAATAGTAGCTTCTTCTTCTTCTTTGAAATTCAACAAGCTGTAACATTTTTTGGATGTAAAGAGCCATCTTTTCAAGTGAGTCGATGACCTATTTCGTCTTACCAATAATATGATCACATGCAGTTTGTATCCATTGGGTTGACTTTCTTATAGCAATTTTCGGAATTTAAAATTTAAGAAATAAATTTGAGTTGCTAAAACTGAACATATAGTTCTTCATTTTCCACTTAATTGTGTAAAGTGTCACGTCTTTAACATCAGTGCCCTAAAACACAGACTTGAACACTTGCAAATTGGGGTAATAAAATACCAGACAGACGGGAAAGAAGCTGAGCTGGAAGCAATGGCATACGCCAACTGCTAATGGCTACTTTTTAGATCTCTAACCATGACTTACTTTTACTTTACTTTTATCCACCGCTTATACCCTTTTGGGTGTCGCGAGAAGAAAGAGACGTCTCTCTGTCGCCAGCCGGAGAGCTTGGGTCAGGGGATGCCGTGGGTTGTTAATGTTTCCCTGACTCCATCTATCCAGGTCTTTCTTGGTTGCCTTCTAGCCTTGTTGCCATCAAATTTTTTGATGTAGGCACGTTGTGCTGGATGGTGTGTTGGTAATCATAGGAGATGTCTGAACCATTTGATTCTTTGGTGTTGGATGTGATGCATGATATCATTTGTGCCCACCATTTCTCGGATTACTGAGTTTCTAAATTTGTCTTGCCTGGTCTTGTTTATTGCTTTTCTAAGACATCGCATTTCACATGTTGTAATTCTTTGTTATGTCTTGTCCGTGGTCCATGTTTGGCACTGATAAGTGAGAGTTGGGATGAATATGGTGTTGAGCATTTTGAGTTTTGTCGTCTTGGGGATGTTAGGATGTTTCAGCAGTGGAGTAAGCTGGTAACTAACATTATTGGCCTTTTGTACTCGTGTTTCAATTTCTCTGTTCAGTTGCCCATCCTCTGTGAATATACTTCCAAGGTACTTAAATTCTTGGACCTGTCTGAGACTGTTGTTGTTGATGTGTATCCTGAGTGGTTCTGGCTCTCTGCTTACTTTCATTGTCTCTGTTTTGTTGATGTTGATCTTCATGTCCTAGTTGTTACATTCTTCGTTTAATCTGGTGGTGTGGTGTTGAAGACTTCGTTCATCTTTGTGTGCCAGGCTTTGGTCATCAGCGAAGAGTAATTCATTCAGAGCATCTGGTTCTGTTTTGGCCTCTTTTGTAATTCTATCCATATATATGATAAATAGTAGTGGTGATAGGACACAACCTTGTCTTACTTCAGATGTTATATCGAACCATTCTAGGAGTCCCTCTGACGTTCTTACTGTACTTATGCTGTTCTTGCGCACGTCACACATTCGCTCCATCCCATCAAATTTCTGTGACCTCTCCATCCGCGCATCGGAAAAGTGAAAGGCATGGTAGGCCTAGATAATCTAGACTAGGCTGGCCAATCACGCGATGCGTTCTGCTTGTCTGCACATATCACACCCTCCTCGTTCATTTGCTCCGGCCTCCATTGTTGACACACGTGGGCTCTCCCATTCTTTGTTTCGCTAGTTCACCAACAAGTTTCTCAATTTATGAGGTTTTACATTATATGTATAATTGGCCTATGCGCTACACACAGCAGCAGCAATATTCCGCTATAACCGACTCGCGTGGTTGTCTGATTGCGGTATAGCAGTATTTGATTTACAAGATAAAGACGGGAAAAAAACGGGGTTTCAGAATAGTGTCTTTATAACAGACTTCTCGTTATTTCAGGACTCGTTATAAGTGGACTCCATTGTATTGATGCTTGTCATGTAGGCCTACAAAATGATGATGTGTCTTTCACGATAGCTTCGCAAGTTAAAAAATGGGAACAGCAACATTACTTCTGTAATGGATGGGGAATTTATCAACAATGTCAAGTGTCCAATGAACTCTAAGAAAAAAAAGCATAGGACTGTAGTTTAACAAACCAACACATACATCTGATTACTTTAAGCACACACAAAGAGAATATGTCATCAGCAAGCAAATGTTTTAAGTCCAGAAAGCAAACTTTTTCACGAGAGAGAAAAACTGGTTTACCATTTTAGCAATAGTCCCTACTTTGTGTATCACTTGTTACTTTTTAAAACATTCAGAAGTTGAATTTTGACAAAACACTTTTTGAGCACATTATGCAACCGATACCACAGATTAACAAACTGCAATGAAAGTGATTTCAAAATTTGGGGTTTAGTACTTTTGAATAACTGGCCTAAGATATGGGGAGAAAAACAAACAAACTAATAACAGATTTTATTATGAAAGTGGTCACATTTAACACCTTTTCCACAGGTTGTAATGGATGGGGTGGAATCTACTCCTTAATGTCTATCTGCCACAGGACTGACCCAATTTCAGAGAGCAATGAAACTCATGACTGACATGGGATTCAAACTCAAAACCTCTACATCAAGACAATGTTATCATTGCGTGAGTTGAAACCACTGCATCACTTTGCTTTGTGAAAAGGGGTAAACGAGGACAAAAAGAAATCAGAAAAGAACACAAAGTCAGAAAAAGGAAATTCCTGATTGACATATCAGTAAATTGCCCTTAAACTGAACCCCCGATTTTCCTCCAGTTGTCATTAAAGGGACACAAAAATATCTAACAAGTTGTGGAAAAGTTTCTGTTGACCAAAATAAACAGAGAACAAGACAGGATAAGGAAGTGAGTTAGTGTGGGGCAGGCAGAGACCGAATAGAGATTGATTAAGTACTACACTTTGTGTGGTGCAAGCCTAGAGTGACAGGCAACCAGGGGAGAACTGATTGATGATGGGAGTATGCGTCCATCAAGATGTCTGATTTATTGGACTGTTACAACACGGAGAAAAATCACAGCCAGGGCTCCGACTACAAATGTCATGTAACACATGTAAACAATATCTGACAGCCTGTTCCATTGCTTTAAATGAAAAGAATAACATAAATACTTGCTGCGTCCCCCCCCCCCCCCCTGAAATACTTGAATAAGGAAGACTACTCATAAAGTACTGAGTAAACAACAGAAAGCCTGTTCACTCATTCAGTAAGTATGTGTGACTATAGGTGTGTGTGTGTGTGTGTGTGTGTGTGTGTGTGTGTGTGTGTGTGTGTGTGTGTGTGTGTGTGTGTGTGTGTGTGTGTGTGTGTGTGTGTGTGTGTTCATTTTTTCAGAGAAGACTTTCAGCGCATGCGTGCGTGCCTGTGTGCTTGTGTATACGATTGTGTATCATTCAGAAGAAGACAGGGGGAAAGAGAGAGAAAAAAAAGAAAGCAAGAGAGACAGACAGAGAGTATGTATATGCATGGAGGTCGTGTATATGTGTGTACACATAATATTTTTGTGTGACTGATCATACATGAGTTTTGAGACAGTATATCATATACATACATTTGTATTCACTTTACGTATATTGACACTGACAGCTGAAAGTTTTCTCCAAAAAAATAAACATTGCAATTTATCTTTTCCTTTAAAAATTCCTTCTTACCTAGCAACGGAGGAAGACGCACCAAGCCAACTAGATATCCTCCGCACCAACAGGCCATAAAAAGAATCAACATGGCAAAAAGGTTTCCGCCAGGCAAAGCCTCTTTTCCAGTCATGGAGTAGACGGTTGTCCACGCAGCAGCAAAGACAATTGCCACAAAGATGGCAGCCCCGGCTTTGCTGTGTGGGGGACATAGAATGTTGTCGAAGCACTTCCTGGGCCAGCTGGCATTCTCGGGGAGCGGGTGTGACTCTGCGAGGCACGGCCGGGTGCATGACTGGTAGCACTCACGAAGAGCAGCACACTTTTGGGGTCTATTGGCAGAGGAACCTGCTCCGTCAAGGTCTGAATTCATTTCAAATTCTACATTATTACTGTTATGAGCTCCTGCATCGTTTAAATCCTTCCTGCCCACCATCTTGTCTGGAGTGCTGACAGTTTACTTCTTGACCGTTACAGACCTGGGTAGAGCAGACATAAAGATACCATTTCAAATAGCATTATATTCAGTGAAACAAACGAAATGATATAAACATTACTAACACAGAAATGCCAGAGACAAAAAAGCAATCCTATAATTAGCCATGAAAAAATCATATGAGCAAACTAGTTAACAGATAAAATACAAACAAAGCAATCGTCATAATAATAATTATGATATTTCTTTCATTCTAAGACAGCTAGTGAAATCATTTGAGATCCCTTTTTCTCCATTTATTAAAATAGCACAGTAAATGTACTGACTTGTGCGCTTTTCTTGTGTCCTCCTTTCAGATGGTGGCAAAAGATAAAATCGTTCAAAAATATTGAACAAGCACTAGATCAGAATCTGTGGTGTAGCAGAGAGGCTCTTCATTGTCGCATGCAGAAGACTTGAGTTCAATTCATATGTGCTGAGATTTTTTTTTATTGAGTACTTTTGTCTTTCATCTGGGATACTGCATCCCTCTGAGTTCAGGTTGGCACTGACAGGCAGGGTCTTAGACTGCCTCCTAAATGATTGAAACAGCATCAGTAGGGGTGTAAAACATCTACAATTACAACTAGCTCCAGTCCACAATTTTGTCTATCCATCTTCATTTGAGTAAGAATTGGAGGATCCACCTGACGTGGGAATGACACTGTCAGTACAGTTCGTGCCTTTGAGAGAAGCGTAAGTTTAAGGGTAATTCATAAAATTATAACCACGTATGACTTGTGAGAACCCCCCAAAAAAGAGTTAGCTTTTACCTGCCAATCAAAAAATTCACAGTCCCCCCAACAATAAACCCCTGAAAAAAAAAATTAATTTAAAAAATCAAGAACAAAAAACAATTAGCCATGCTGTTATCAGCCTTTTCGGCAAGACAGAGGAGGAAAAAAATACTAAGGCCTATAAATTAAATCTGAGTTGCAGTTACATGATCCATGAGGATATATTGATTTTGCAGTTAGCAAACATTTTCTTCCAATAATAGTAATGCCTGCGTTGGGAAAACACTAACTGCTACAAGGTCTTAAGATTTTCTACTTGTTTCCTGTAGGTCCATTCAATTTACAATAAATTACTCTGATTTTAAGAAAGGGAAAATATCAATTATAAAAGAATTTCACATGATTTCAAGGCACTGTAGAAAGTCAAAGACAAATATTTAAGACAATGAAACAATCTCTCTTCAAAAGACCACTGCCACCCCTAAAAAAAAAAGTAAAATAACCCAACAGCAAAAGACCCAACGAACAACAACAACAACATATTGAAAACAAAAGAAAGCGTATTAGCTAAAATTCACCCTCAGTTGATTCCACAAACGTTTAGATTAAAAAAATTTTATTTTATTTTGCACTGATAGAAAGGTAAAACTAGGTTCACATACTAACACTTACATGTAAAGAGGAAATCCAGATGAATTCAAACCACTTCAAATTAAAAGAAAAAAACCCTCTGAGGAATCATAAAAAATTATCATCTAGCAGAGCGAGTGACCCAAACAGCGACAAGCCTTGAAATGCGATAAGAAGTAAGTCAATGGTCGAGGGCTCGATAAGGTGTAAAAGGGAGGGGAGGGGGAGGGAAGAAAGAGAGAGAGAGATAATGGCCCCCAGTGTGAGAAGTGGGAAGTGGGCAAAGGGGTGG